TTTGATATTAACGCTTTTACGTCACTTTTTTCTCAAATCATGAATAAGATTATGGTGTCACATACGGGTATGCAATTATCTATTGCACTCGAAGAGTAGATCACTCACCCAGATGCTTCAGCGGCCTTCTGGTCCTCACTTGTACTAGCCACAGAGACAAGGTCATCAGCGATATTGGTAGGTACTGTCATGAAGATTGGTGGCGAATCAGTGTTTCTATCCTAAAGTCAAGAAAAAAAGCTTTCTAAAAAATACGTCTTTGGAGGGTACAAACAGAAATAATCAACGAATAATAATGAAGAAAACAAAAGAAAGTCACATTTTCCATCATGGCAAACATCAAAGAAAAAAGAAAAGTAAAACTAGATCCTAAAATCTCATTACCTCTCCCGAATTCGGTGAAACGGAGCCATTGAAGTTCCCTTCACGCGAATGACTCTTCGTCATTCCATTTGATTTACTGCAAACACCAATGAAATTTGCGATTTTGAAAAATGAGAGAGTACTCACTTCAGTCGACTCTCATATATTCTCTCTTTCTCGGTCAAAAAGCAGGGATACAACCCGGGGGAGAACAACAGTTCAATGTGAAATCGTTCCATGCCGGTAGCAGTGTTGTCAGCTCGGCTGTCTTCGTATACCATCAAAACAACCTAGAGAAGTTCTTCTTAAACAAGAATAGTAAAAAAGACAATCGTGAAAAATGTAAAATATTCACCTGCGTCATATAATTGAACTCAGTTACGCCTGACAGGAAGTTCATAGCTCGCTGCCATTTCTTGTCATCAACCTGAGCAAACAGCATACATTGAACGCACAGATGGTAAGACAGATTTTAGAAAAACAATTTTTGGTGATTCTGGAGATAAAATGAACAAATATAAATTATATACTCACAGAACAAAGTCCGCCATAACGAATAAGGTTCATCAAAGTATGGATGTGACTTTCGCTAGTGAAATAAAGTCTTGTCCGTACATGACGAAGTGGTGTTGCAATTCCTTGCGAAGCTC